TGTGATCATTAGATTCACTCTGAGTGTGATCACTAGATTCACTCTGAGTGTGATCATTAGATTCACTGAGTGTGATCACTAGATTCACTCTGAGTGTGATCACTAGATTCACTCTGAGTGTGATCATTAGATTCACTCTGAGTGTGATCATTAGATTCACTCTGAGTGTGATCACTAGATTCACTCTGAGTGTGATCACTAGATTCTCTGAGTGTGATCATTAGATTCACTCTGAGTGTGATCATTAGATTCACTCTGAGTGTGATCACTAGATTCTCTGAGTGTGATCACTAGATTCACTCTGAGTGTGATCATTAGATTCACTCTGAGTGTGATCACTAGATTCACTCTGAGTGTGATCACTAGATTCACTCTGAGTGTGATCATTAGATTCACTCTGAGTGTGATCATTAGATTCACTCTGAGTGTGATCACTAGATTCACTCTGAGTGTGATCACTAGATTCACTCTGAGTGTGATCATTAGATTCTCTGAGTGTGATCACTAGATTCACTCTGAGTGTGATCATTAGATTCTCTGAGTGTGATCACTAGATTCACTCTGAGTGTGATCATAGATTCTCTGAGTGTGATCACTAGATTCACTCTGAGTGTGATCACTAGATTCTCTGAGTGTGATCACTAGATTCACTCTGAGTGTGATCACTAGATTCACTCTGAGTGTGATCACTAGATTCACTCTGAGTGTGATCATTAGATTCACTCTGAGTGTGATCACTAGATTCACTCTGAGTGTGATCACTAGATTCACTCTGAGTGTGATCATTAGATTCACTCTGAGTGTGATCACTAGATTCACTCTGAGTGTGATCATTAGATTCTCTGAGTGTGATCACTAGATTCACTCTGAGTGTGATCATTAGATTCTCTGAGTGTGATCCCTAGATTCACTCTGAGTGTGATCATTAGATTCTCTGAGTGTGATCACTAGATTCACTCTGAGTGTGATCACTAGATTCTCTGAGTGTGATCACTAGATTCACTCTGAGTGTGATCACTAGATTCACTCTGAGTGTGATCACTAGATTCTCTGAGTGTGATCACTAGATTCACTCTGAGTGTGATCACTAGATTCACTGAGTGTGATCATTAGATTCACTCTGAGTGTGATCACTAGATTCTCTGAGTGTGATCACTAGATTCACTCTGAGTGTGATCATTAGATTCTCTGAGTGTGATCACTAGATTCTGAGTGTGATCATTAGATTCACTCTGAGTGTGATCATTAGATTCACTCTGAGTGTGATCACTAGATTCACTCTGAGTGTGATCACTAGATTCACTCTGAGTGTGATCATTAGATTCACTCTGAGTGTGATCACTAGATTCACTCTGAGTGTGATCATTAGATTCACTCTGAGTGCGATCATTAGATTCACTCTGAGTGTGATCACTAGATTCACTCTGAGTGTGATCACTAGATTCACTCTGAGTGTGATCATTAGATTCACTCTGAGTGTGATCACTAGATTCACTCTGAGTGTGATCACTAGATTCACTCTGAGTGTGATCATTAGATTCACTCTGAGTGTGATCACTAGATTCACTCTGAGTGTGATCATTAGATTCTCTGAGTGTGATCACTAGATTCACTCTGAGTGTGATCATTAGATTCACTCTGAGTGTGATCACTAGATTCACTCTGAGTGTGATCACTAGATTCACTCTGAGTGTGATCACTAGATTCACTCTGAGTGTGATCACTAGATTCACTCTGAGTGTGATCATTAGATTCACTCTGAGTGTGATCACTAGATTCACTCTGAGTGTGATCATTAGATTCACTCTGAGTGTGATCATTAGATTCTCTGAGTGTGATCACTAGATTCACTCTGAGTGTGATCATTAGATTCTCTGAGTGTGATCACTAGATTCACTCTGAGTGTGATCATTAGATTCTCTGAGTGTGATCATTAGATTCTCTGAGTGTGATCATTAGATTCACTCTGAGTGTGATCATTAGATTCTCTGAGTGTGATCATTAGATTCACTCTGAGTGTGATCATTAGATTCACTCTGAGTGTGATCATTAGATTCACTCTGAGTGTGATCATTAGATTCACTCTGAGTGTGATCACTAGATTCACTCTGAGTGTGATCATTAGATTCACTCTGAGTGTGATCATTAGATTCTCTGAGTGTGATCACTAGATTCACTCTGAGTGTGATCATTAGATTCACTCTGAGTGTGATCATTAGATTCACTCTGAGTGTGATCATTAGATTCTCTGAGTGTGATCATTAGATTCACTCTGAGTGTGATCATTAGATTCACTCTGAGTGTGATCATTAGATTCACTCTGAGTGTGATCATTAGATTCTCTGAGTGTGATCACTAGATTCACTCTGAGTGTGATCACTAGATTCACTCTGAGTGTGATCATTAGATTCACTCTGAGTGTGATCATTAGATTCACTCTGAGTGTGATCACTAGATTCACTCTGAGTGTGATCACTAGATTCACTCTGAGTGTGATCATTAGATTCACTCTGAGTGTGATCATTAGATTCACTCTGAGTGTGATCACTAGATTCACTCTGAGTGTGATCATTAGATTCACTCTGAGTGTGATCATTAGATTCTCTGAGTGTGATCATTAGATTCACTCTGAGTGTGATCATTAGATTCACTCTGAGTGTGATCATTAGATTCTCTGAGTGTGA